TATTCTATTCTATTCTATTCTATTCTATTCTATTCTATTCTATTCTATTCTATTCTATTCTATTCTATTCTATTCTATTCTAATGAATATCACTCAGTTCTCGGTCGTGTCGTAATTACGGTACATGTGTATCATGACACGCACCCCTTCTCCAACTTGCGAAGTGTTTTTATCTGCTAAGTTGATAAACAATCGTTATCGTACGCCGTAGGGTCGTTGACCATTTCAGTAGTTTGAGCGAAACCTGGTTACCTATGTTAGCTAGATGTCATAGTGACTCTTTCCGCTGACGTGAGCTTTGGTCAATTATCCGGTTCTTAACGCGCCCGTCAGTATATTGTTACTACGGGACCACGGAGCGGGTTTATTTGTCGTTATTGGAGCTTTTGTGAAGGTGACAGATTAGATATTACTAGTACGACAGTAAGTCGCACCAAAGAGGGCCTACCAACATCGTTATCGTGGCGTGTCTCAAAATAGTTTTATGAATGGAATGGAGACCGGGACAACCGACTGGCGATGATAAGCCTGCAACAAGATAGCGCGAAGTATTCTAGAAACCACGTGTCGGATCTTATTTTGACTCGCAAACTGTGTCACGCGTGCCTCTTGCATGATGAATGGGAAGTGCACACGACAGCGGAGCTGTAACGTCAGAGATTACCACCATCGCGGTACATCAACCGTCCCTGGTCTCTGACATTTAAACTTCTGTACGCTCATGTTGGAATAAACTACGTTTGTCGCATTTGTACTGGAAGATGCGATACGATACCACGGGGATGCACACATCCAGTTCCGTCACAACACTGAAATGGAATACCAAGTGATGAAAACAACGCACCAGGACGAGAGAAAAAAATGACAGCAACATTTATTCTCGTCGTTTTACTGATGTATCATAAATGAACTGCCTGTCAATTCTGAGAAAATCGGGAAATATTTATATGGAATTAATCTAATTAAGTTAGTCGTCAGTTCAATTAACTTGTTCATGTATTTCCAGTCTGTAACCGACATCTCTGCCAGAACTTATTCAATATACCCATATACATCTCAAGCATACACAACAATTTCCGGGACAGTTAAAGCCGGGCATCAGCGCAATGAAAAAGTAGTCACCAAGTACGCTTTGTTTGGCTATTCCAGTACCAAGTTCATTGTTCAAGGCCAATGTAATGATACAACGTAAAGTTAAAGGGCGGTGGTCGTTGCGCCGCGTCATACTCGATATGGGACTCATAGCGACGTATACAACGCGTGTAAAATACATTGTTTGTTTACACGAAATTTGAACACGCGCTGCGCGACGACCATCGCCCTTTAAGTATCGTTGTCACGGCCACAACTTAAAAAGTAATCATGGACACCGATGGAAAGCTAACCCCGAAGCTAACTCGATAGGAATGAATACGATGCGCTCAACACACTGAGAACAGCTGTCATCGAATCGCCAAGAATTAACATTCCCCGCGTGATTGTGAGCTGATCAGTGTATGAGCATGTGAGTGGATAATTATCGCCATACTTCGAAGGCATGATACCTCTAAGGTGATGAAGAAAAATATGTCTTATAAAATACACGACACGGCATCGTCACTTGTGGCTTGCCATGTGAATCTGAAACACCGCTGCTATGCAATGAGAGCAAAGTAAATAAAAAGTCAAGTTTATATTAGTATGATTGTGATATTTCAAAACTCTAATCTCGGCGCAACAAAGGCATTTCATTTATAAATATTCATAAATGTCAATAACAGTTAATTAAAACCAGCCAATCAACAAGCACAGTGCGCAACGACGTCATTTGAAAACGTTTCAATGTTTTATTATCAGCCAATAGAAACTTCTCGTTTTAGTTTGAACTGTTGAAATTATAAATATTTACAAAGATAAATGGAATGTCTTTGTTGCGCTGAGAGTATCTCTACTTTGTACAAGTATATTATTACAGTAATATGATAAGTCATGGACAACTGGTATTGCGTGACATAGTTTACAGCCTAACACGTGACTATTTCATCAACACTAAGTACCGGTAAGTCAACCAGTACGAAACTAATCGACCCGGGGAGGTGGGGGCACGAAAAACTCCCAATTTGAGAGAGAAAAAAACAACTTTATAAACAAAAATACGAATTTTCAGATATTTTTAGTCGACGTTGATTTGTCCGGGTGTAACTCACAGCCACTTTCCCAGTTATTAGCTTTAATGGCATTGAAATTAAGTGTTTATATTTGTAAAAGATTGCATTAACTTTCCCAGAAAGCTAATTTCGTCTTCAGACAAAGCATTCAACTGCGCCCCTTGTTTAACTCAATTCATTAAAATTTGTATTTTCATAAGCGAAATTCTGATATATTGGAAACAACTTTATAAATAATTTAAAATGCAAAAATTTAAACCAACAATTTAATAAGAAACTGCAACAATGATACAAGCATCCAATATTACTTCTGTTATCAACTTATCTCAATCGCAACAACACGCGTATCAAAGCCATGTTAATAAAGCATGTGTATTACACTGATAACGGCCGGATATAGGTGACTGACCTGCATGTAAACCGAGTCTAGTAAAAAAAATAGTCCCAGGTACGTCCGACCTGTGAACTGTGAGAGAAGTTCACGTTATCACGTGATATGCATGCATCTCGGTACGTGTTGTCTGTCATATACATAAACCCAGACAAAGCAACGTAGCATTAAATATGCGACACAAACTCTAAACCTTGAAACATGACAATATCAATTCCGAAA